CAAACAATGAGATGCAGGTAATAATTTTAATAAATTCTTGATTAATTATTTTTCTAATTCATTGTTCTATAACACTTTAATACAGAAAATGAAGTTGTTTCAGTTTGTAATTCATTGCCAAAAAAAGTAGTTAAAATGGATTTGACACTTTAGAGAAACCAAGAAGTGATAGTTTGAGCAATATCTAAGTGAGCACTATTTTTGTTTTGCTAAACGGGGAGGGGGGGGGGGTATATGGAGCACCGTTTAAAACAAATTACCCCCCCCCCCCCCTCTTGAGCGAACCCCTAGTTTGTACGGGGTGATATAATCTTCTGATATTAGACATTTTGATTATTTCGTTGCCCCCTGTCAATAAAATTGGTCTACAATGTAAAAATGTGGCATGAAGATTACTTCTTTAAATTTTTAAAAAATTTGTTTTAGTTTGTTTAAATCAAACAGGAAATTTATTTTACAGACATCACTAATGTTACGAAGAGGTAAACCTGTTAGATTTCGCTAGAAAAATTGCAGTGCTACAGGTATGTCTTTTCCCAATTATTGTCATCCATTAAGTACAGGAAAATAAGGAAGTCAATTTGTACATTGCGAAAATTACACGTTCTTTCTTTAGTACTTTGATATTATGGAATTTCAGGATGACAAACTAAAAATATTCTGAATGTGTCTGGCGCCATCTCTTGCTCATGCTTAAAACATTACAATATTGCAGTCGCAATCGGCCTATCGAGAAAAACCCAAAACAAACCAAAATTTGAAGAAAAGAAAGGAAAAAAGAAAAGAATTGGTCAACAAATTAGAAAAGATGATGAAGAAAATCTAAAACACGAAGGCGGGAAGGAGAGAAAGATAGAAGGCCGGGGAAGGGAGAGGGTTCATGGCGAGAGAGAGAAAGAGAGAGAGAGAGAGAGAGAGAGAGAGAGAGGGGGGGGGTAGCTAGGTTACGGAGGGTAAGTGAAAGAGAGGGCAAGAAAAATGCAGAGAGAGCCTCGCCGACAAAACCCCTTCTCAAAATTACCCTATTATTATAGTACTTTTGTAATATAATAATAATAATAATAATAATAAAAGCTAGTTCTTATATAGCGCTTTTCAGGACCAATTAAAATCAGCAGTGGGCTATTTTTGAATGATTTCTATTTTGATATTCTCTCATGCATTCCCCTCTCCATCTTTCTCTTTTGTTATCCCCCTCTCTCTCTAGCTCTATCTTTCTCTTTTGCTACCCCCATCTTTCCCTCTCTCTCTCCCTCTCTGTCATTCTCTCTTGCTACCAAGCGCGTAGCCAGGATTTTATTTTAGGGGGGCGGTAAAGTGAGCACGCGAAGGGACGGAGGGGTAGTTTTCCCCTCCCTTGCGAAGCGCGGGAGCTTTGACGTTTCCTTAAATTATTAGAGAAAGAAGACGATTCGTTGGACCGTTCTCGACTCTTAATCCTTGTTTGAATCAAGTTCCCCTTTCTCCGGGCGTACCGCGGAAGCTCTGAGGTTTCATTAAATTATTAGAGAAAGAAGACGATTCGTTGTACCGTTCTCGACTCTAAATCCTTGTCTTAATTCAGTTTCCCCCCTCCCTCGCGAAACGCGGAAGCTTTGACGTTTCATTAAATATTATTATTAGAGAAAGAAGACGATTCGTTGTACCGTTCTCGACTCTTAATCCTTGTCGAAATTCAGTTTCTTTTGACGTTTCATTAAATTATTAGAGAAAAAAAACGTTTCGTTTTCCTATTTCTTTCTACGTCCTCTTCCTTTCTTCTTTCTCTCTCTTATTTTTTTTTTTGGGGGGTGGCGTTTGTGGGGAGGGCGACCGCCCCACCGCCCCCCTGGCTACGCGCTTGCTTGCTACCCTTCTCACCCACCGTTTTTTTTCTTCTCCTAGCTCTCTCTCTCTCTCTCTCTCTCTCTCTCTCTCTCTCTCATATGACTAAATCATGGGCCTCTCGGCCAGGCGCGGATCCAGGATTTCTTAGGGGGGGGGGGGGGGGGAGGGGGCCCAAATTTGAAATTATGCGAGCCAAATATTGGTGGTCATGGTCAGCCTGTACGATGGACTGGGGGGGGGGGTCATCCTTAAGAAACTGAAGGGAATTAAAATCCACTGAGAAAATAAAATATATAAACAAGAAATAAAAGAGAAAAACACAAAACAAAATAACATAGAACTTGTAGCAATTAAGCTATGATACATACAACTTCATTGCACCGACTGGTTCGATTAATTGAGGATCCGTTTCATTTAACCACCTCATAATTATTAGGCCTACTCTCGTAATCAATCGTTACGAATGAGTTTTTGATGATTAAAACAATAATCAAGGGTAATCAATAATGGCCTACCATTGGCTACCAATCAGTGGCGTACCTGGGGTACTCCGTCAGGAGGGGTAAGCGATCGAAACAAAATAAAAAAGGCGATGATAATTTTCACTTCTGGTGAGCGAGCGGGCAACAAAATATCTTTAAGTAACGTTTGGTATATAAACCGGTATTGTTGCAAGTCGGGGGTGGGCACATTTATTTGTTAGCGACGTTAATTTCATTTCTGCAAGCGAGCGTAGCGAGCAAGAAAAAAAAATCCCTTCTTTTTTAATAATTGCCACTTAAACTTGATTTTATACCCATTTTAGCTAATTGTGTTTAAGGCAATATCAATCTCATTTTGGCGGGCAGGCAACACCCCTACATTTCTCTTTTTAATGATATTGTAGCAGGTCAGTGGTGGGCACATAATTCCACGAGCTAGCGAGCGTAGTGAGCGAGCGAAAATGGTACATGAACTTGGTTTCATTGTTCCATGTCAGGGACGTGATTATTAAAAGCGATGTTATTTCTATTTTGGCGAGCGAGCGTAGCGAGCGAGCAAAATTTGTTAAATGATAATTGGTTCATTTCTTTTTTTGTTGTTTTGTTGCAGGTCAGGGCTTACACAATCATGTCTAAGGTGATGTTAATTCCGTTTTGGCGAGCGAGCACACCAAAACTTCTTTGAATAACGTTTGGTACGTAATTATTAACTGGTTGTTGCAGGTTGGGGCGGTGTTAATTTCATTTTGGGGAGCGAGCGTAGCGGGCAAGAAAAAAAAATCGCTTCTTTTTTTAATAATTTCCAATTAAACTTGGTTCAATTGTCCTCAATGAATTGGTACATAAACTTTGTTTCATTGTTGCAGGTCGGTTGTTGCACAAGCGTGATTTATAGTAAAAGCGATGTTACTTCTAAAACAAATTTAATGATGATTGGTACATAATTTTCAGGTTTTTGTTGCAGGTCGGGGCTTACACAATCATGTTTGAAGTGATGTTAATTCCATTTTGGCGAGGGAGCGTAGCTAGAGAGCAAACCAAATTTTCTTTGAATAACGTTTGGTACATAATTATTAACTAGTAATTTGTTGTAGGTTGGGGCGAGCATGTTTGTTAGCGATGTTAATTGTAAAGACATCGTAGCAAGAGAGGGTTAAAAAAAATCAAATAATATATCAATCACTAAAATCAATCAATTCATCAATTCTGGCGAGCAAGGAAACAATATCTCTTAAAATAACGTTCGGTACTTATTTACTGAGATTATTGTTGCAGGCAAGGGGGCGCACATACTTTATTAGAAATGTCAATTCCATTTTGGCGAGTGAGCATAGCGAGCAAGCAAAAAAAAATTCAATTCTCTTTTAATAGAAATTAATACATAAACTTGTTTTTATCGGTGCAGGTCGGGATGGGCGGAATCGCGTTTAACGCGATATCAATTCCTTTTTGGCGAGAGGGCGAAAAAAAACTTCCATTTTTAATGATATTGTTGCAGGTCAAAGGTGGGCACAATTATTTTCAAGGTAATGTCTATTCCATTTATTCGCGAGCGAGCGTAGCGAGAGAAAAAAAAAGGAATTAGTCTCTTTTAGTAACATTTGGTACATAAATTGGGTGTTATTGTTGCCATGGTTGCAGGTCGGGGCCAGTCGGGGCAGGCACGATTGTATTCTAGGCAATGCTAATCTTTTTTTTTTTAGGGGGACGAGCAAGTGAAAACAATTAATACAAAATAGGCTAGCAAGCAGCTCGCGCCAGCGAAGAGTGTCGAATTTGTTATATCACTTATATTTTCCTATTTTCATTTGTCTTTTTCAGGGCCGTATGTGGAATATTTTCCTGGTGGGGGAGGGGGAAAGATGCGTAAAAAGTTTTCGAAGAAACTCAAAAGCGAAAGGAGTGAAGGGAGTTCGAGCGACCGAACTGGTCATGCGGGTACTTTTGCATTTTCAAACATAGTAGGATTTGGTACAGGCCTTCACCATTTGTGAGCTTTGTTAAACATTTTCAGGAAAAAACTGTACGTTTTCAAAATGGGGTCAACGCCCCCCCCCCGCACGGTCATGGTCTTTTTTTTTTAATTTCCCCATTTTTTTCTCTCCTTTCTTTTCCCTTTTTCTTCCTTTTCTCTTCTTTTTCCCTTTTTCTTTCCTTTTCCGTTTTTTCCTTTTTTCTCTTTCTTTCCTTTTTTTTCCTTTTTTTTTCTTTCCCCTTTTCCTTTTTCCTTTCCTTTCTTTTCTTCCCCCCTTTTTTTCTCTTTCCCCCTTTTTTTCCTTCCCCCTTCCCCCTTTTTCTTTTTTCCCTGCAGCCCGTCAGGGGGGGGGGGGGCACTCTGCCCCCCTTGCCCCCCCCCCCCTCCTCAGGTACGCCAGTGCTACCAATCATACCGCGGTTTGAATTAATGTACATGGATTGTGCACAATTTATGTTTCTCAAAATTTCGATACAAAACTTTATTTCGATTAAACAGACACAAGACGAATATCCACTGATAGAAGAATCAAATTAATGATGAATGCAGGTGTCAAAAAGGTGACTTTTAGACATGAGGTTTACTAAATGGCAGGCTTTACTATCTAATTATGTTTAAATTACAATATCCGCTCATGCATAATTTATCATCCTCGCTTCGCTTCTAATATATTTCCTACAAAAATACACGAACCGCTGTACACACTTAGCCTACGATAACACATTTGATGACCTCGTAACTTTACGTAAAGTCGTTCGACCGCTTTGCTTTCGCTAAATTGATTTTGGCCATACTGCGTCTGCATATAGTTTACATCAATTCATCAATTCTTCGATTCTGATCACTGGACCACCACAAGGTTGCATAATAATATTATAATAAGCAGTGGTCTCTGCCACGAATCGAAATCGAGAGAGTGGAGCTAACGTACGATCACGCAGGCAAAGTGTGCTGTACGCTATCTGTGTACATTGACCGGCCGTAGTGCTAGTGCAGTGCAGTTTACGTGTATAGCGATATATACCTTTCATTATGTCAACCTTTGGTAGAGCCCGAGGTGTCGCGAGCAATTTCATAAGCTACACGCGACAACCAAGCATTTTGAGAATGGCTCTGAACGGGGAAAGATCTCTCCTCATCACGAACGGCACCATGAGTTGCCAAGGCAATGGAGTTTCGAAGAGGGGGAAAGTTTTGTCTTTAGAGACGATGAATCCTCATATACGTGTGATGGAGTATGCTGTCAGAGGCCCGATCGTCCAACGGGCCACGCAGATTCAGAAGGAGTTGGAAAAGGTATGGTGCGATGGCCTCTCCATCTCCCGGCACATCGGGCGCGGGAACAATTTGGCCCGGCATTTTTTCCCACAGGCAGGCGCGGTAAAATTGTATTAAACACCGTTGCGTTGCAAGATCAAGATAGTGGTTGATGTAATATATTCAGTCTGACTGACTGTGTTATAAATTGTCTGAAAATGTTTCCTTGACAACTGTACATTGAGTCAGTATTTCCTGTTACATCTGGTAAAAAATTAAGATAAATAAAGGAATTTAAATTTGTAAAACTGTTTTGTGCATTAAGAATTTAATTACAACAATGCATCATTGCACATAGTAACAGTGACTATGGTCAGAAACTCGAGCCAGTCAAGGTGATCTTTAGCAATATGTTCACTTTTATTAAGCCATAGTCAATGATATTGATCTAGACTATGTTGGTGTCATTAACAACATTTTCTAGGTTTTTTTTTAATTTTCATAGAAATAATGTTGCTGAATTTACATACATGTAGGTCTAATGAATTATTATATTTGTATAATATGGTTGACATTTGCTGATGTGTAACCTGTGTTAGTGCATTTATCCAATTCATAATGTGTTTATCGTATGGGAAGATATATTATAGATAACATTTGTGATATAATGTTAGATCAATGATAAACCTAAAAATCTGTCTTTATTTGTTGGGGATATGCATGTTCCGCTGGAGGAGAGTGTCAAAAGACAAAATAAGTGAAAAAAATCTCCAAGCAGATGAATTTTTTTTGGTTTTGATCAACAAAATTGTACTATTACCATTTTTTAAAAATTGTACAAGTGACAATCCAGAGTCCAGGACACGTGGACATGTACAACAAATACATCTTCATTTATTCATTTGACTTTGAGCAATATCTTGATATATTTTCTGTCTTTAAAAAAATCTGAAACCATCTTGATATTTTTGTCTGGAGCTTTACAAGCAACCAGTGGACTGAATATTACTAGCAATCTGAAGAAAAAACAAACAAAATTAATGAAAAAAAAAAGAAAAGATGCAACTGCTCTGGCATGAGATTCAGAAAATTGATATTATTAGTTTCATCTTTACCCAAATGACTACAAAGTTTATGAAGAAAAAAAATTGATGCAAATTTTGCCACTCTTCTGTGGGTATTGAATTGATAGCAGGTGTGCATTCTCTTCCACAATCATACATCATGTGGGTTTCAATTTCAAAATCAATTTAAAGGCTCCAATTCCTGTTAATAGTACTGTATTTGTATAGGCTTTACAGCTCTGTTTATATATATTTTTTCTTGGAAAATAATTATGTTGTGAAGGTTATTTTTTAAATCAACTTTTTTCAAGTTTTTTGTTTATCCTTTGGACATCTTAGTTTTGAAATGGCTCCAATAATATTCCCTCTGATCAATGTACATGACTACATGTATATTGTATGCAGTGGATAACATTGGAACTACTGTACCTTACAAACAATGTACATGCACCCTGTATGTATGTACAGTAGGTCTCGGTCTTCATTGCTTACAACCTTTTGGAAAGTCGATACCAACTTGACAATGTCATTTTTCTTTTCCGTCATGACAGGGAGTCTCCAAGCCGTTCCCGTCCGTTATCAAGTGCAATATTGGAGATGCTCACGCCATGGGCCAGAAACCAATGACCTTTCTACGACAGGTAAGTGATAGGGGCAAATACCCGAGGGATCTGTCTGCGCTTCGCACCCGGTCATATATAACCTTCTCTCTGTTCATTGGTACACAAACATGTAGTCCAACACGTAATTTGCGCTGATCTGGTATCAGGCATAGTGTAAGCCATAATATGTTACTGATATGTACAGTGGTTCAAGATAAACTTTTCTAGCTAGAAGGGCGTTGAAGGGCGTTGAAGGGCGTTGAAGGGCGTTGATACAGGCCACTGCTCACTTTGTGTAGCGTTAATTAATGCCCTTCTGGCTCTATTGAGACAAGATCTGCTGGATTCCTGCCTTTGTAGCTGATAGCCAATTTAGACTGAAGGAATGTTATATAAAAATTTGCATATTAAAGAATCGGTTATCGGGGTATAACTATAAGGAATCATTGTCTAGGGAAACTAACAGATTCATGAAAGTTTGCAGAAAATCTGAAAGGATGAAAGAATGAGAATGAAAAGCACAAATTTGTAAATCATTGAGTACACATGAATTAAGCAGCTCTCTACTTTTTATAATTTTTTCTAAAAGTTTGATTTGATAAACTTCTATTTATTTACTTCTACCTGTGCTGAGTAAATCCTCTGTGTGGCCATGCCTTGAACCGTAATGCATGGCCGTACAGAGGGATTTTTATGCCTCTGTTACGAAGTAGCCGGAGGCATTACCAGAGATGCCAACCCTCCCGATTTTATCGGGAGGCTCCCGATAATTCACCCCAACTCCCGACCTTACGATCACCATCCTTATCCTCCCGATTTATTTAAAAAAAAAAAAAAAAAAAAATGATTTTTTTTTTTTTTTTTTTTTTTTTTTTTTTTTTTTTTTTTTTTTTATTATGATTTTTTTTGGAGGGCGCTTATCAGTATATATATCTGTGAATTGAAAGAGAAATATCATCTGCTAACTTAAGCATGTAATAATTCCACTATGTTAAAAGACAAATTAAGAGTAGCGAAAGATTGTTTCAGCATATGGATCGCCGTAACCAATGCGTGGATATTGCCACAGAATCCAAATGGCGGAAAATCAGCAAAATAAGACCAGGAAATGGTCTCGGAAGTATAAGACCGAATACAGTATCAAGTACCTGTGTAATCGGAAGTCTGAAAGTAATTCATCATGCATTTTGTACAATTTTTATGTTATTTAAAAAAAAAAGGGGGAATTATTTAACTAAATACACATGTAAAATGCTCCAAAATAAGGCTCAGATTGCACCAGAGAGCATCTAGAACCCCAGAGCTTCCAGGGCCCTAAGGCGGGCCCTGGACCCCGGCCGCATGTGTCGGGCGCTACGCGCTCGAGATGTGCGCTACGCGCACATTAATTGGTGTCGATTACAAATCCTCCCTATTTCTGATTTCCAAAAGTTGGCATCTCTGCATTACATGTATGTTTTCGGGTTGTCCGTCCGTACGTACGTATGTCCCGTTCTCGTGATCGCGTTATCTGAAGAACCGATTGATGGATTCCTGCCAAACTTTGGTCATGTATGTATCTTGCAGAGCCAATGAACTGATTAGATTTTGGGGTCACGAGGTCAAAGGTCAAAGGTCACAGGGCTCATTATGTATGCAAAAACAGCTTGGATCGCGTTATCTGAAGAACCGATTGATGGATTCCTGCCAAACTTTGGTCATGTATGTATCTTGCAGAGCCAATGAACTGATTAGATTTTGGGGTTACGAGGTCAAAGGTCACAGGTCACAGGGCTCATAATGTATGCAAAAACAGCTCGTGATCGCGTTATCTCAAGAACCGATTGATGGATTCCTGCCAAACTTAGGTCATGTATGTTACTTGCAGAGCCGATGAGCTGATAAGATTTTGGGGTCACGAGGTCAAAGGTCACAGCGCACATTATGTATGCAAAAATAGCTTGTGATCGTATTATCATTAGAACAGATTGATGGCTTCCTGCCAAACTTAGATCATTTATGTATCTTGCAGAGCCAATGAACTGAGTAGATTCTTGGTTCATAAGATCAAAGGTCATGGGCTCATTATTTATGCAAAAATGGCTTGTGAACGCATTCTCATTAGAACTGACAGATGGATTACTATTTAACTCAGGACATCTTGCAGAACCAATGAACTGAGTAGATTTTAGGGTCATGAGGTCAAAGATCAAAGGGTCATATATGTATATGAGAAATTGCTTGTAATCATGATATTCTGAGAACCTGTTAATGGATTACAATTGAACTTGAATTTGAAAAATTTCTTTTGTTTCAGTTTGTAAAATTGCTCTATGACGGAGGCATCATTTTTGACTGCGCGCAGTCGAATTCCATCTAGTTCCTATTGGGGACGGGGAAAATGCAATAAATTATTGATAATTTATTGCATTTTTGGTTTTTAATTTGTGGGGGCTGCCCCCTACGCTAGTCCCCGCTGCGTACAGTCATGATTCAGTGGCAAAGCAATGGCCTTGTAACTGTGAGGCCCCAGGATCAAAACCGTGTTGATGTACCATATTAGTGCCCTTTTGCCATAGGTCCCCTAGTTGATAAGCATAGTATGCTTTACATGCTTTAGTAGTCATGTAAAACAAACATACATGTATGCAAAGTATTATTCAATAAAATCTGAGAATTTAAACTATTATTAAGACCTATTAGGAATAAATCATTGTCAAAATCATTCCATAAACTGGGGTAAAAAAATTATTCCACCTTTATGACCAAAGTGTACATGCATTAAGTTGACAAACTAGAAATACGCAAGTTTAACCAACAAAAGTGAATTAAGTGTTCGTAAAAAGGTTATCATGAAGGAATTTTGCAAATAATGAATACCGGTAATGAAATAGTTGCCTCATTATGAGCTGAAAAAAACTAACCAATCTGCAAGTCAATTGGAAGCTGAAGAAAGGTCAATCTTTCTTTCTGAGGGCAATCAGCTGCATATATATTTGATTTCTTAAAAATTAAAACTGAAGAGTGTATACATACTGGATTACCGGATTGTTTGCACTGTCGTACAGGTGCCAGGTGGTAATCGGTTACAAACATTTGGTCAAACTCATCAGATGTTTATTTTGGTCAAATTCAGTATCCCATAAGAGTGTAGACCTTTTGTAGGGAATAAATTGTGAATTTGTTGAAAAGAGTTACCGGTATTGCAAATTCTCCAATTTGACAGAGATAATAATACAAATTTGTATGCCTGTAAAAGATTGACATGTAGACCAATTAGTAGGCTTGTAACATGTATTTGTCTAACACTTCTTTGTTGATTGTTCACCATAATGGTTGGGTCAGAATTAATGATTATGAATGCTGTCTGTCTAGACAGTCTAATCTGTTGTATGTTTGCAATGGTAATGAATTTCAAAGCTCTACATTAAACCTGTTGACAAGTGAATTCTCTCTTTCCCATGGGCTTACCGGTAATACAGGATCACCTTTACAGGGGTCAGTTTTTCTTCTCAAAGGGTCCAATTGAAATTTCAGGGGTTTACATGTACAACATGTGCATGCAATGGGATTTGGGTAGAATATTTAGAACCCCTGTCTGTGTTGTGCATTGACATTTCAACTTATTTGTTGTACAAATGTACTGTACATGGTTTCATTGGAGACTGGAACAGCACTGTGAATTGACAAAGCAACCAGGCTTTAAGACTACACCATGTAACTGATTAAGATTTTATTTATTTGATGTCGCAATTCCAGTAATAACTTATTTTTAATTAAAATATTTCCATATTTTCTCAGAGTTTCTGGTGTTTTATTCTTCACATTTTCTTTCCTGTGGTATTCTTCAATCCACAGGTGATAGCTCTCTGTACATATCCAGCACTCCTGGATGATTCAAACTTCCCATCGGACGCAAAGCAAAGGGCACAGAGGATACTCAATGGATGCAAGGGAGGCAGTCTCGGTAAGAAATCTTAAGCCCCACTGTACAAGTTGTATCTACTTGCTCCCTCTATATAGAAAACCTCCCCAATCAGTGCCTGTTGGTCCCCCATGATCCTATTTTTCTTACGTTAATTGAGAGCTGAGTTGATGAGATAGCCACCTGTCAGTGACCTTGCTGGGTGGTCTAATCTCTCCTGGCTGAACTAGTACAGATGGCCTTTAAGTGAAAAAATATATGAAGAGACGATAGAGATGGTGTGGTCTAGTGGATAAGTCTCCAGACTGGGACTCAAAGGTACAGGGTTCAAATCCTGCCATATAGCACTAATGTTCCTCAAGTGATATACATTTATGCTTTCTTAGCAGTCAGGTAAAATAACTACCACCACTACTAATGAAAGAGTTACACGCAATGTGTTCAATCAAGCATACAATCTTTGTTAAAAAAGAAAGTCTAACCAATGACATAATTACTGTTATACATATGTACAAGCTTAGCAAGTGATATGATAGTGTAATTTATTTAATCAAGCCTACACTGTACATGTACATTATATTTGTAACCAACAAATATGATGAGAGTGTACAATGTAACTGTGTACTGTACTATAAAATCTACGTAAGCTTACACATGCATCTAAAGATTTGATTAAGAACTGTACCATGTGACTTAAGCATTTGATTTCGAGTGAATGTGGTGCCATACAAATCTCATATATTATTATTACTATATGTATGACGCAATTGTGCAAATATCCATTTCTGGGAAAGACCTTCACCCGACCTTCACACTGTCCGGGTCACTGCCCAACACTACCCACATACCTTTCCTTTCAATGAAGGCTGGTTGTAACCTACATGTACTGTACATCACACAAAGGAAATATTGTAATCAATTACTTCCAGTGTTTTGTAGGCCAAATTATATGCACATGTACAGTACAGTGTACGTAAGTCTTGTAAGTGGTGTATTGCCATGTGGTTCGAAATACAGGATGTCAGGGATGTATGGAAAGCCAAAGGGAAATAACCAGATTTGTAATGAGGAATTGACTCTTGGCTTCACGTACATGTACATTGACACATAATACAGTATGATTTAAGCCTGTAGTCTACATGTACATGTACATATATGACACACGATATAATAGAGAAAGAGCAGGAATGGGCCCATTTCAGGGCCAACTGCACCTGTAAACCTGTCAAAAGAATGTGTGGTGTAACCACAAACCTCGTTAAAAAAACAAAGTATAATAAAACACAATCATGATGAAGGCCTGTAGTCTAGATGTGTACATGTTGACACACAATATGGACAAACTGTAGATGTATTTATCTGCATGTCTTGTCAGTTGTCACAACTATACTTGTATTTTGAAGTACCGGTATATGTAAATATGAACTATTTTTATGATACGATATTACGATAAATACCTCATTAGGCTGGAACAGGTTATCAGGAAGATCTAGAATTATAGATAATGAGCATTATCAGTTCACAATGTAATCTGGAGACTGTTTATTCAGTGCCAGCAGTCTTGAAGTTCGAGAAAACGCCCACGTTTGCAAACTCTTAATCATATGTAGAAAAATATGACCCTTATGAAAAAAATATTTGAACTGCAGTAAACAATAGATAAGGTAATTGGTTGTAAAAGGCCTTAAAACTAATCCACTTACAGATAACATGCCCTTTTGAATTCATTAGACCATTTACACAGCCCATTTTTGAAAAATCATCAATATTTTTGGGGGACTGATATTTACACTGCTGGAAACACTGATAACAATTAAAAAAACCAGGGTAGTGCTCATTCTTATTTTTTGGTGAGTAGTGCACATGTGACGTGTGTCTTGCCGCTGCTCTGCATGCATTTGCATTCAAGGATCCATTCTCCCCGAGAACCCCCCCCCCCCAAAAAAAAAAAGAAAAAGAAAAAAAGAAGAAAAAGGTTTGAAGGCCTTGTTTACAGATCTTGTTTACAGATCTATAATACATTAATACTTATAAAGCTCTGAACAGCGCTCAAAATACACGGGGGCGATGGGCGATTCACCCCCGTGAGCTACATAATCGCCCCCGTCAGGTTGCTCACGGGGGCGATTGCACAATTAAAAATCGCCCCGGTGGAATTATAAAATAAAGATTATCTTTTCTGTTATAACTTTAACACAATATTGAGTTTCAATTTTCAAACCTTAAACCAATGAAATGGAACTAAGATTAGCGTGCAAGATTTCTCGTTTTATAGGCCTATTATTACTGATTCAGCTCGCAGTGCAGTGCCGCCGTCAGCAGTGGTTATAGGCCTACTGCGCCTTTAGAAGCGGTACGTGTGCACGCTGCCGCGCCATGTCTGCTGGAGCTGGAGGCGATCGCGCAAGGGCAGAAACATGGTCAGTTTTTCGTTGTCAGCAAATAATGAACCTCGACCAGTAAATCAATATTAGGGACTTTTAGATTTGCACGTTGAGAACGTGGACTGCAACGTGTGACCTCCTTTTAAGGCACTGCCAGTGCTTAAAAGGACGTCACATGTGACTGCCAGTGCCTTAAAAGCAAGTAACACGTCCACGCAAATCTAAAAGTCCCTATTGAGAAGAAGAGGAAGATGAAGAGAACAAGATGTCGTGAAAGGATATGGTAACATGGGCAGATCTACAGGGGGGGCAGGGGGTTTAACCCCCTCCTCTGCAAATCTGCCACTGTGTTGTAAGATCACTTTCAGATTAGGAGAAGTGTATTCTTTAATGAGTATTTTACATTGAATGGAACGTCTCAACTCAGTAAGCATGGCTGAGATTTGTAAAAGTTGTTTTTACAAAGAAGATTCGGGTGAAAAGCATTGCTTATTAAAAAAAAATCCTTGCATCAATTTGAATCACAATGATTATTTGTCGCATGATTCTTTTATTAAATAACCTTGTTTTCTTTTTTGTTTATTCAAACAAATATTCGCATCAATTTGAATCACAATCATTATGATTCAAGGTCCCGCCTTCTCCTCTCCTGAATCCAGTAATACACTTTGCAAAGCTGAACAGGACCATGTGAAAAACATTGCAGGGATGACGCAGAGATACATGTATGATGTACATGCAGAAAATCGTGGTATTAAGTTCTTGCATTCAGTAGGTGGAAAGCTTACAGTGAGCATCAGCATCTTTGGTTTGGCCCACATCCAGGGGTGTTACTGGAGCCGTTACAGTAATGTAGACCAAATAGTAGAGGCTACTATGAAATCCCGTGAGATAATCGTGCCAAAATTGATTTTTTTGGCTAACTTTGTTAATTTCGGGGTGCTGAATCTAAAAAAATTTGGTACCATTTTTTTCGACCACGTCTTGGGCAGCCATTTTGAATTTCAAAATGGCCGCCATAAATAGTTGCATTTTGAGCATTATTTCATATTATAGACATCATAGAAGGTTCAAATTTCGGGTAAAAAGCATGGCATTGATGTCTGATATAGTAATACAAATTTCCATGAAATTGTGCTTTGTTCCGGATAAGCCGCCATTTTGAATTTCAAAATGGCCGCCATTGTTAAGCCTATTTCAACTTGAATATCAAGTTAGAAGTGCATGGAAAGGTTAAAACTTGTTATAGGATCATCATTATGATGATATACATGCTTTAAAAGGAAATACATGCTTTGTTTAATGATGACCATTCTAATTAGCCGCCATCTTGAAATTCAAAATGGCCGCCATAATATGGTATTTCAGATTTGTAACACATATTGGGTATTGGAGCGCTTAAAATGCAAAATCAATCATTTTGGAAGGCATGTGATTCTAGAATCAATCACGGCAGTCAACTCCTGCTTTATATTGCGATATGTTGAATTGAATAATGACATATAATGCATGGCATAACCTGAGACTGATAAATCATGCGATTGTGATTTCAAAGACCAAATGTCTACCAAATGTACCTCCTTACAACTGTGTCTAAAATGACAACTAATCTTATGGATGTGAGTTTAGTTGCGACATTGAAACAACAATTTCTTATAATCTACAATTTTATATTCACCTAGTCAACATCGGGGCTATTCACATTCACATCATAGTCCTGTGTATTTTCACAGTCACAACACTTGCATAGGGCTGTGCAAGGCAGATGGTTCTTCTTGCAAGAGCAATGGCTTTTGCATTCCTTCCGACATGAGCATTTGACCAATTCCATGACTGCCTTCGGCGCAGGAAGCTCTAAACACTTGGTTGCACTGAATGTTCCTTCTGGGGAAAGCTCCCATCCATTTCCATCTAGAGGGGGCAGCTTTGGTTTTGGAACTTTGTATCCCTTGTTGACTCTGGCTACGAAGTTTGCCCTCTGGATGTGTGGTGTCAAGGATCCAAGGGTTGGTGGGAGCTTTTCTGCCTCAAGATTTTTTGCCCTGAATAACTCCCATCTAAGGTCACTCACTTTTGTGGCTTTGCTGTTTCTAGCATACACCTTGCAGACAAAGTCTTCCAAGACTGATAACACACTTTCCTGGTTGAAGTCTTCTTCACCTAATGTTTGGAATGCATGGACTATGTCACATTCTGGGTCAAGGCCCAAATACTGCTTGATCCATCTGCTCTTTGAGATGCCTGCAAATTTACCACCCCAATCGGCACCACTGAATGCATGTAGACCAAGCAAACCTTTGCTTTTTTCGCTACCAACTGCAGAACATCTCTCAGCAATGTCAATTGTACGTTTCGCATTTCCCTTTCCAGTGATGAAGCAAAGGCGACCTAAGACATTGTGTGTAGAACAAAGATCCATCAGATATACAAAGACGTCAGTGTCTGGAGAATAAACATCAATATCTATGATGTTCTCTGCTGCTTTTGAGGTAGCATCCAGTACATGCAATGGGATGAGTGTATCCGCTTCCTCATGTGTGTGATGGGTGAGTTCTGGATCAAACATATCTGGCTTGTTGGAATATGTAGCATTTCCGTAGACGACAACAACGTTCTTGCTACTATTTGTATACTCATGCAGAACAGCCTTTCCAAGAT